TAAAGTTTCTTCAAACATCTACTGACCATTTACTTGACTCCTCATTAAAAAAAAAGAAAAAGCTTTGAAGACAAGAAGCGCAATGGTGTTTCAAGTCGACACAGCAATTACTCTGCCAACTCACATTTGCACTAATAAGCTTATGGAAATTAAGGTTCTCCTAGTTCAAACAGCTTGGCACGGGCTAACAGAGTACATCTCTGGCCACTATGGCTTGGTCAGGGAAAACAGAGAAATAAGCCATAACTAAAACAACAACAAACTTGTTTTGTAGGGCAAGTTTCAGATCATGTAGTACTGTTATACACATCCCCTCAATTTGATTTTACTCCTGTGACATGGAAGAGCCTACTAGAAATCTTTGCGTTTTGCCCGTATCAGTGGTGCATAATAGCACTGACTGGGGAAAAGTTGAGACAAAAACTCTTATCACACGCTTTCATAAAGAGCAGTACAGTATTCAGTTAGCACTTCCAGGAGCCAGGCGAGGCACGCCAGCTGCCAGCCGCCAGCCAATGAGCCAAGTTAAGCACTTTAATGTGTGACATCTCACTTGTAATGGCATGCTAAACAGGAAAAAAAGATGCACATAGCTAATGTTTATTTCCATTTCAGGAGCGTATGGATTGATTCCCCACAGAACTGCCCAGCACTCACTGAATCTACTCACATTGAAGAGTAAATCAGGATAGAGCATCCACACCCTGTCCTGCAAATAGTCCATGCTCAGGATAGTATGTTATTCCCATCATAGTTCAGCTGCTCTTTTTGTATCTAGGAATGTATCTATCCTGCATTCAAAGCCCTGGAAAATTATGCCATTTTTGTTTCAAGTTGTCCTTAATCTTCCTCTTCCCCCTGCTGGTCAAAATCAATTTCTCAAGAGGTCTGGACACTAGGTGGTTGAATTAACGCAGCAGGAGTGGGACTTTCTTCCAAAAATAAATCTGCATGTAATATTTTTCACTACACAACAGTGTGATTTTCTTTTTAATTTTCTCAACAATCTACATGACAGCAGTGCAACGGGGTGACGTTTTCATTTACTTGGTATGCTTTTATCTCATTTTTACAAGTGTTTTCAGTGGCCACCATGCACCAGGCTGCTAGTCCACAAAAGCAATGATATGTCACAATCCATTTTTAACTTTTTTTAAAAGCAGACATACTGACGCAAGTCACAAATGAGGTTGTCTAAACCAGTGGCCTACTATCAGCAACAGGCATGTCACTATTTCAGTTAGGAAGCTCAGTTGTAAAGCTTCTCATACTCAGTGCTGCTGCTAAACAGGAGGAAGAACAACTGAGCAGACTTCATTGTTAAGTTTGTTGTCAGGCAAATGCTCCTGAGGTACACGTCTTAAGTTCATTAAAATGCTGCATGGACTGATGTGGAATGAAAATGAACTTCCCCACACCAAGAATTCTAAAAGAGAACGGAAGACAACAATTTTAGTTAAATTCTTCATCCTGAACTCACCTGCAAAAACTTCTTAAGGAACTTGCTTTTTAATTTATTTTTTTTTTTGTTACAACAGCACACTATGAATGAAGAACACATGGGCAGTTAAATGCTAACACCACTGTGAATTCCATCTTCTACTCCTTCCCACTTTCTCAGCTCCCTTGGGTAGGTAGCAGTGAGCTTTCCTCCCTGGGACCCACCTTTCTATCGAATAACAACAAAGTTGTTTACTTAGATGTAACATTCTAACATGTGAACATGCCTGGATGTGCATAATTGCACACCAGTCTTACCTGCTCTACAGTGTTAATTATCATCATACAACTAGGCGGTGTATTTGTAATAGAATGTAGTCCATGTTTATGTTTTCCAAGGCAGAACCTAAGCAAGGCATATCCCATAGCTGGATAAAGTTGGGGAGCGAGAGTCTAATTTCAACTGAAGCAATTCCTGTCCCATAGAAATGAGCAGCCTCTGAAGACAAGAAGTGGTATTTCTTCTAAACCCTCTCACCTACATTACATTGACCATCCATGAAGAGTAGTAGCTTGGTCTTGGTTGTGGCTTCACCTCTGATACTGCTTCCACTCCTGGACTGCACAGGAGCCAACTAATTCAGTTCAAGGATATCCTCTGGTCACAAAAGCTGGTTTGCATTCTGGATCCATCATTTTTCTTCCCCCAACAGCCGGCTTCGGCCCTTCTTTCCCAGGGCTGACTTCTGCAGCTAGATCTCAGACTTTTTTTTTTTCAGCATAGCAATTGGTGCTTCACTTTTCAATCCCCTACCCCTACCCTGGCTCAGGTACCAGGCACGTCAGGATAAACTGCCACTTAAAAACCTCATCCTCACACAGCCCCTTTAAACTGTAATGATGTAATAATTTTGAATATCCTTCAAAAATCATGTTTCTCAATACCCTTTTAGATGGGGTCATCTTAACTATGAAGCAGGATAAGGGTAGCCAGGGCACCTGCTTGCCCTGTGCAATCAAACTCAGCTCTGCAGAAAGAGAGCAGTTTTGAGGAAACAGGAAGCTTAAATGCTAACCAGTTTATATATAACACAGCAAATCACTTCTGGGCCGAGACAGTAAGCACGAAGAAAGGAGGAGGTAGGAGGACTTGAAAAGACAATCCCCAGAGAATCATGGGAATGCAGTGAAGAACTACCACAATTCAAACTAATCCCTGCCTCAGCTCCATCCTTGAAGCTATGCAGCCTGAAAGCACATGGTAAAATCCACTTTCTTCAAGTAGTACAATTGAGGAGACTGTGTTACAATTTTGACATAGCAGCTGACATGTGAGTTTGGCCTAAAATACAGGAAGATTTTAAGTCTATGATGAGCACATACCCTCTTGGTCCCCATTTGTTTTCTCTTGAGTTTTGATGTACCCTCCTAAATGGCACACAAAAATTAGCTTTCAAGCAACAATAATGGGTAGTCCTTGTCTTGCTGAACAGACAGAATTCCTGCTCTCACATAGCCATGTAAACAGCAGAAGACAGTTCTATAGCAAGACACATAATATTCTTTTCTTGTTTAAGGAAAAACACATTTCCCAAAACTCTAGCTTATGCAACATCAACCACTTACCCCCACCACAAACATTGTGAGAGTTACAATTTAACTCATAAGTACAGTTGTCATAATTTATTACAACATGATTCAGTTTGTTGTTTTTTTTCATGCAGTGTGTCTGGGCAACCATCCCACATCTCCTCAGTAAGCAAAAGGCCATTGCTTTTCTCCCAGAAGCAATGGGAGAAACATGCTTTTGGATGTCCTATCACAAACAACTAGTACTGGCCAAAATAGTCACACAGACTTACCAGGGTATAGTCTAACAAAATCTAACAAAACAGTCCAACACAGTATCCATGCCCCTTTAATTATTTAAAAAAAAAATAAAATTCTTATTTGAAAGTATTCATCAATAACTTGGCACGAAGTCCAACATCAAACAAACTTCAAAATTTATGTGTAAGGTCATGTAGCCATTCCATATTGCAAATAAGTTTTCTGCATAAATGAAAACATAAATAGCATAAACAAGCTAGTGTTACCACAAAGCTTCGATGTTTTGGTGTCCTTGCATGTCTTTAAACTTCTGACATGGTTTTTTTTTTGTTTTCTGTAAAGAGAGTACCACCTGCCTTTCTAGACCATTGGGAAAAAATGTAATTGCAAGCTGTCAACGCTGCACGAAGATTTGAGACCAGTTTTGTAATGGACACAAAAATTATGTTTGGAATATTAAGTTCAGAAGGAAAACAATCATCCTCTATTGTCTCGAAACTGCCTAGCCACCATTTGAAGCCCAGCTATTTATCTCACAATTCACCTCTTCCTGTGTTACCCTCCTCCCTGTATTTCTTTTCTTCTCTTTCAGTTTTTGCCTCATACCTCGTTCATCCATTTGTGGAGGAGAGGGGAAACTGCATCTATTATATATAGCCAAGAAAAGTGTATGACTTCTCACATCTAATTTTTCTTAAATGTCATTTTAGGATCCTGAATGCCATGCTTTATTGGGTTTTTTTGTGCCCCTCTGAACTGCTCATTACGACAGCCTCCTGTTCATCTAGGCTCGTTCACCTGCAGTTTTGTAATCATCTTTGCTCCCGGGGCCAGTAAAAGAACATCCCTTACAAATCTCCTTACAAACGGCTCTGAAAAGACAGACGTGCATCCTTTCCACAACTGCAGTTCTGCCCCAAAACCCAAAAAAACTTATTTCCAAACATACGAGCTACCAAACCATTATTACAGGTTTCTGCCTTTTTTTGGGGGGGACGCTGAGGGGAGCGGTAGCTCTCCCTCCAAAGCACCGCGTCTTTCTTCCATTCTCCTACAAGTACCACATGTTTAAATGGACAGAGCCCACCCTGCAATACTGCTTAATAACTTTTCCCTACTGCCAGAGAAAGAGCTCGGGAAGAAAGACAGAAGGTCGTCTTGGACTACAAGAAGCGAAATAAAATTTCCCTACTTTCACACCTCTTCACCTGCCTTCTAACCGTGCGAAACACCCCAGACGCGCGGTATTTTCCCACGGGGGGAAAAAAAAACAAACCAAAACCCCCCATAAGAGCACATGAAAACACTGAGATCCGTCCGTGTGCTCCGACACCAACGGAGCGCAACACTCGGTGCGAGGCACAGCACAAGGGCTGGGCTCCGGCACCGCCGCCTCACACACGGGGCTGCGGCGAGCCGCGGCTGCCGGGCAGGGCAGGCACACGAGGAGCACCGGGCGGAGGCGACCCAGCCCGGGCCACCACCAAACGCCCGTTTTCCGCCGGGAAGGGCGGCCGGGCCGGGGGGCACGGGGGTGTGCTCGGGGGGCACGGCGGCTCCGCCCGCTCCCAGCCGGTAACCGCGCCCGGCCCCCCCGCCCGCCATGTGCCGGCGGGGGCGGAGCCGGCGGCCCCTCCCCACGCCCGGTACCGGCCACGGCCCCGGCGGCCCCAAAGTGCTGATTCAGCGCCCGCCGCCCGCGCCCCGCTCCCCGCGCCCGGTGGCGGTACCTGAGGCCGTGTACCAGCTGCCGGCGTGGCTGGCCTCCCGGCAGAGCACCCGGTTGGACATCTTGGAGCCGGAGCCGCCTATGGTGTTCGGGGGGGACGCTGGGGGACGGGCCCGCCCGCGGCGGCGGCGGCGGCGGCGGCGGCGGCGCTGCTCCCCCTCCTCCCCCGGCACGGCCCGGGCCCCGCGGGCGGAGGCGGCGCTGCCGGAGCGGCGCGGGCCGGGGGCGCGGGGCCGGGCGCGGCCGCGGGGGGGGTCCCGGCGGGGGGACGCGGGGACAGAGCCCGAGGCCGCCGCCGCCAACTCCGCGCCGGCGGGTGGGGGGGCGCGCAGAGAAGGAGGCCGCGGCCGCAGCTGGGTTTGGCCCCGCTCGGCTCCCGTGGACTAAGGGCCGCGCCGGCGCCGCGCCCCCATTGGGCACCAAAGCAAAAGCCTCGCTGCGATTGGCCCCCCGCACCGCGGCGGCCCCGCCCACCGCCTGACGAGCCCGGCGCCGCCTCGCGGGGGAGCGGGGCAGGGGGCGGGGCCAGGCGGGAGAGCCGGCCGTGGATTGGGCTGCGCGTTGCCGTGGCGATGGGAGCCGTGCGCGCTGATTGGCGGGCCGTGTCTCCGTGGTGGCGGGGCAGATTCCGGGCGCGGGTCAGGCGAGGGGAGCGCGGGGGGGCCAGGGGGATACTCGGCCAGGCCCGCTGGGTTATCTCGGGATCTCGCGCCTCCGCCGCTTCCCCGGGCCCCGCACGGGCCGTGGGAGCAGTTGGGGCGCTGAGGGCTGCAGGGACAGAGCATCGTTTCCCTAAGGCATCGCTATCCCCAGAGGGAACAGGGCGTTTGCTGGGCTGAGGCTCCCTATTTCTGAATCAGGATCCTTCCCGACGCCTCCCTGCCAGTGCCATGACGCCCGTGGCACCGTGGCATAGAGCGAGGGCCGCGGGAGTGCAGCCGTATGGAAGTCTCGTGTCTTTCTCAGCCTCATACTTCCTCACCCCTTTAATTTTATTTTTTTTTAATTGGTTTGGTGAATGGACCGCTGCCATGGAGACATCAGGCGTGGCCAGAAATAGCTAACGAGGCAGAACTGGAAAGGCGAGTGTGGCCAGTACTAAAGCGGGGAGGGAAAAAGCGATTTTAGCCGCTGATGTGTGAGATGCGAGCAGGAGGGAGAGGAGCCCCAACGGGAGGGATGAGGGGCCGCAGCCGTCAAGGTCTGGAGGCAGAGTGGTGCTTTGTGGGGTGGAACTGTATGGGCCAGGCCAGGAAGGACATCCCTCGCCTGCCTCTTTGTCATGGAATTCTTCAAAAAGTCCTCCAGGCAGTTATAAATGCATGCAAAATACAGAGGGTTTCTTTTGGTTTGTTTGTTTGTTTGTTTTGGTTTTTGTTTACTTGGGTTCGGGTTTGGTTTTTTTTTTACAGTAAAACAAAGGAAACTAGGGACAAAGGCATTGTTTGCAGTATGTCTTGAAGATAAAAAAAGGCTCCTGCTTCAGACATAATGGCTGACTGTTTTTTTATCGATGAGGATCCTCCTCTGCACTCCCAAGGCAGCTGAGGGGCACTAAGGACTGGAGTGTCCAATTAACAATGTTTGTAATAGGTTGTCATGAGGAAATGGGGCCTAACTATCTGAGCAAATGTCTAATGTTTTCACTGCTCTATCTATCCTCACAGTATTCCATTGTTATTTTACAAATAGTGTTTTGAAAAAGGTTAATGTGGATTATAACTGCTGCCTAGACTGGAAGAGCTATCCTACCTGACTGTTTTAACAAAAAACTATATTGGCAGTTGTGATACCCATTTATGCTTCTCAAACCTTTTACATAAACTTCAGTACTGAGAGTAGCTCCTGAACTGATCCTTCAATAAACTAATCCTTCAATAAAGTTAACTAAATGCAGCAGAGGATAAATTCTACTCCATGGAGAAAAATAAATGTTGTGATCATGTACTTAAAAAATGGGTCATGCCAGGATGTATTCAAGTTTTTGATGCACCACTGTCCCACAGTCCACCAAAAACAGTTTGAGGAGGCTGCTAGGAGGAACATCTTAGGGGAAGTGGAGGTTAAAATTATTTTTAATTATCTGGTATTCCTTTCTTTTATTTAGAAGAAGGCCTTTCATTTTCTCTGAGCATTTTCGCTCCAACGAGATTAAAAAATAAGAACTTCTGAGTGGTAATCTAGATGGTTTAATAAGTAAAAATTCTTTGTAAGTATTTTCTTCTGGGTTTCCTACCTTTATATAGTGTTTTTTTCTTCTTCAGCTTGCCTTTTAAAATTTCTTAAATATATTTCTTTTCTTGTTGCTGTATAACAGGCTTGATTCCTTTTCTCCTTGTGCTTCCTTTTTAAACTTCTTTCTCCCTTTCCTCATTAACTTTTTTTTTCCTTGTGTGTAGTTTTTTCTCTCCTAGATTAGGTGTAGATTAGGATGAAGTTTTTACTGGATGGAACATGAACATAGCATCCATGTAGATGCAGAGGAACACTACAGCTCGGTGTTAGCAGGTTACAGAAAGTACAGGCTTTTTTTTGCTAATCCTTAAGTAGTTGTATGTGCCACAAACACCATGGCAGCCTGGTGAATCCCTGTCCTTCTCTGTTACTGACTAGCACACAATACAGAGCCCAGGGAAGCTGGAGGACATCCTCCTCAGTTTCTGCATGTTCCTGAGAAAGCTTGTCATCCATAGTACTGCAGGAGGAATTTCTGCTGTTTCCACCGGCAAGGGTGAAAATAGGATTTTAATTTGTACCCTATCGCTGGTGGACATAATACCATTGAGCAGTGTTTAGTGATTTATGGGTTTATCTGTTTAAATTTCTAACAATCACCTCCCAATCATGAACTGTTTCTGTGTTTCAGGGCTGATGATGTGTTCCCTCAGTAGCAGATAATGTAAATGAAAGAGGCAGAAACAGACAAGCAGTCAGCTCTTCAAGAAGCATTTGGACAATGCTCTCAGACACATGATGTGATTCTTGGGGGTGGTCCTGTGTGGGTCCAGGAGTAGGTAGGTCCCTTCCAACTCAGGATATTCCGTGATTCTGTGAGTTAAGTAGAAGATGGCAGTGCTGGGCTTCCTAGTGCTCGGGATGTGGAGGTATGGAAGGGTTCTAGCCACAGACTGAGAAACTAGGCTGAGCTTTCAGTGCAATGCCGTGAATCATGGGTTAGGTTGGGAGATCCTCCTGCTTCGTCCGTAATTCTTCCAAGCACTGTTTGTTTGGGGAGCAGTAACAGGAGCACTTACCTGTTCAGAGCTGTTAGCTCTGTCATTTTTCTCTGATGTGCAGGGCAGAGCTGACACAACGCATGGACAGTCCCCCACGTCTGCATAACCTTGAAGTACAGATCACTGCTACATGTGTGTGTTTGTTGGCAGTTTGTTCCTTACCTGGAAGAAAAGCATGAAGGCAAAGGGTGGCAAGAGTGACTCACCAGTTAGCGTGTCCTTAGCATGCAGGGTTTTCCTCAAGTAACCCCCTGTGCCCATCTTGGATGACACATGTTTTCAGCTGGCCCAGCTTTCAAGGTCTGTTGCTCTCTCGGTTTTTGTTCCCATTGTCCTCTTGCACGTGGTTTATTTTGCATTCTTTCCTGTCATGCTTTTCACAATGCCCGCTTCCTGTCCCCCCCCCTTCTCAGGAAGCTGTTCACTGTTACTTTAGGTTTTTCTCTTTACAAACTGTCATTTTGCATCTGAGGAACCTGCTGTTCCAAGCAGTCCTTCCTTCTGCTGTTAAAAACAGACACCCGCCCCCCCAAACTTCATTGTCCTTACAAGGGGAATATTTCCGCTTCCTATATAATGTAATAGCACCTGAGATAATATCAGTGGGTAATTATTCATCTTGTAAATACTTCTTAACCACCCAGCAGCCTTTTATAAATTTAGGCTTGTCTCGGAAAATGAGTCTTACGCACAGTTACAAAGCAAACTTTGAAGAGAGCTAAAAGCACATTGGGAATAGGAATATGACACATTCCTAGTCACTGTTGCACTGTTGCACTAGCACTGATGTAAACTGCCCCATAATTATTCATGGTACATTTACATTTGAAGTCCTCACTTAAAACTGTATTTGAATGAGGAACATGAGCAGAAACGGTGCTGATTGTCTTTTCATCATGGTAAAATGCCTGTTTCTGTAACAGCTGGCATTCTGTATTTCTGTGATCTAGGCTATGTAGTCACTCTTAAAATGAATCCTGACTATGAAATAGAATAGGAAACACAAGCTAAGGCTTGGCTAAGAATAATTTGTTATGTAATTAGTACAATGATAAGAATATATCAAAACCTGTACTCTCTCAAGCGTGGTAGGCATAGGGATTCTTCTCATATTTCCTTTCTAGCCTACTGGTTTCAACTGCTCGTATCTCTCAGAATTTTTCAGATTTTTCATTTGTTTGAAAGCAGCTGTTTTATTTCCAGAAAGTCTGTTGGGGAGAGAGAAGTTCTTTTGATCAGACTGCATTTACAATAGTGACAACACTTCAATAAAATGGATAGCTCAAAGACATGTACTGACTTTGGAGAAAGTCCTTGATAAATTGGAGATGCAAAAAAAAAAAAGATTTGGCAAGTCAAACTGTGTTTTTAGGTGGTAAGAGGCTTCAGAATATGAGGATGTAGAATCCTTTGATCAGAATTGCTTTTAGTGGGAAATTCTTTCTTCTGTCACTGTTCCCTTCAAGGTAAGAGATAAATGTTCTCGGTAGAAGCAGTTAAAAAGGCAGATTTCAAAATACTCCATATGACTCATATATAATTCTTTCACAGTTACTAAATAGTAACTTCTGGATATCAGAGATCTAAAATAGTCATCTTGCATGGTATGCTGTGGTATAAACTAGGCATTCCATTTTATTTTCTGCTCAATTTTACTGCTATTTAGAGCATCTACTGACTCACCTAGGGTAGTGTGGAGAAATAAAAAAAAATAATTGTTCAAAAACCAAGAGATAATAGCTTTCAGCTACTTAGCAGTGGCCTGTCATACATCTGAAGTTGCCATTTTCAAATATTTCTTTAAGCTTTTTCTCTACATCTATTTTTACTCCCAAGTTAAATACATTTATCTTGAAGCCTTCAGAGCTGCTGTTTCCCGT